AACAGATGTTAAATTAATTTTAAAGATCAATCTCAAACACTCTAAAAATATTTTTGGATTGATTTTAAAATTTGAGCACCGATTGAAACTTTTTCAATTAATCCACATAAATCGTAATTACACCTTACTGTTGATACGAATCTGACTCGACATAAAACTTAAAAATAATACGATGAATTGATATGAACGATAAATGAGCCAAAATAGGGCTAGACAAAAACAACATGATTAATAGGTTCGTAATTTTTTGACACAACTTGATACAAAAGTAACAACAATACGACACATTTTTGGCACCGTTGTTGTCGCCCTCTATAGAAAAGTGACAAAAGCATTTGCATAATTTGTGTACTAATCTCATGGTAAGAAGAAAAGAAGCACTGTATAAGTAATTTCATATTCTACTATTACTGACTTCAATGTCTATAAAAGTGAGGAGGTTTTCAAAGTAGCCTCTCACAGAAGATAATACAGATCTCTGTATGTGCTTTTTGCACAACCCACAAACCTCTCTCTCCTCTCTTCTTATTGCTCACCCACCTGCAGCTGAATTGGGTGAGGTTTTCTTTGCAAGAAGCACTTGGCAAACGTTTTTGTTTAATTCTTTGTATTGAAACCAGTCCATTTCAGCTGCCCAGAACCTAAAAGCTACAGTTTTCTTCATTTATAGGTTGCTTGGTTCTCTTAATTTAGATAAAGTAGAGTTTGTCAATTCTGTATTTCTTTCGAGCTATACATATTAATAAATGTGCATTTATAAATATGATACCTATTTTTGACGAGGCAGTGAAATGTATGACTGTTGCTCTGCTCTATAAAGTGGATGAAAGAGAGACGTATATAGATACATATATATACTAATGACATATATTCAGATATATAACATGTATTATCATCATCATTATCAGACAGAAAATGTGGAGGCTGAAGATTGCAGAAGGTGATAATGATCCGTATCTTTATAGTACCAACAACTACGTTGGTCGGCAAATATGGGAGTTCGACCCAGACTATGGAACCCCTGAAGAGCGAGCAGAGGTTGAAGAGGCTCGTCTTCAATTTTGGAACAATCGTTACCAAGTCAAACCCTGCGGTGATCTCCTCTGGCGTATGCAGGTCCTTCCTCTCTCCCTCCCTCTCTCACACACACATACATACACAGTGTGAAACCAACACCAAAACTAAAAAAGTGTAGAGTCTGTTTCCCTGTTGAGCTCATTAGTGCAGGAGTCTCTTCCCCAACTCTATTCTTGGGTTGCATAAGCATTTGAGTATTTCGGCTTTTTCAGGTTTAATTCGTTCTAACAGATTTATTTGTTTGTAAGGGATATTTACTTATTTAGGGTGATTCAAAAAAACTGTTTTTATTTGTTTTTTGTTTTTTTGTTTTTTCGAGTTTTGTAGTGTGTTCAACGTAATTTCTTAATTTATTATATTAATAAAATATTATTAATAACATAAAAATTTTAAAATTCATATTTTGAAAATTATTATATATAATCTACACATGTATTTAAGTATTATTTTTTTATTTTTATACAAAAATGAAATGGTTCTGAAAGCCACAGCAAAACGAAAATTTTCAACTTTTTAAAGAATTCTGGTTTTGGGGGACTTTTTACTGAATCTTTTTAACTCATAACTTTTCATATAAAAAATCAACTCTAAATAAGTCTTATGTCTTTGGATTGAATGTGAGCTCGATTAAATATTATAATTTGATATTAATTCAATGGTTCTAATGAAATTATTTTATTAAATTAATAAATTATATCAATTTTTTAAATCTCAATAATATTACTCCCGACTATGTATATCATTTTTGTCAAACTTTGTATGCTCTATATTACTCCCGACTATGTATATCATTTTTGTCAGACTTTGTATGGTCTATACATTGGACCGATGGATAACAGAACTAAGTGGCCTAAAAACACACTTGGGCACTCTAACCAAAATGTAGGCCCCATTATGATAGCTCAATAATAGATGGAATGTAGGCCCCATTATGCACACATGGTTTTGTTCTTGATAGCTCAATAATAGATGGAACAATTACATCTGAATTTTTTTTTAAATTTGTCATTTAATCATTTAAATTATTTAATATTTAAAATATTATATATAAATTTTTTTGAGGTTTGTACGTGCTAAAAACTTAGATCTCTGTCGTCAATGTACTTAAGTAAATTCGTAAGTAAATTACATTAAAACTCCCTAAAGTTTGTAAGTATATAATATTTAGACCCCTTAAATTTAAAATATTACACTTAGATTACTTATTAGTTACAGAACTAACAAAATCTATTAAAGATAGAAAATATTATATCCCTTACGGTTTGACCCTTTGTTTGAGTTTTTAGTTTTATTCCAATAGATAGTATAATTGAATACTAATTATGACTTTTTTAAGAAAAAATTAAATTTTTATTTTTGATTTTATTTCAATAAATGACATATTAATACATGGATTTTAGTTATAAAATTTAAAATATTTGATATTTATCTTTGATTGAAGTATTTTTAATCTAAATATTTTATGTGTAAAAATTTCAGAGAGCCTAAATGTAATTTACTAACAGATAGACTAATGGACATTGACGGCACGGTCCAAGTATTATGCCTGTACAAAATTTAAGGGACTAATGTATAATATTTTAAATGTTAGGGGTCTAAATAATTAAGTAACAAATTTTATTAGGTAAAAACGTAATTCTCTCATAATAGATAGTTATGCATCAATAGATAGAAATAGAAAATTTCCCTAATTCTCCTGGATCTGCTCATTCGCTATTTACATATTCTTCATTAAATTATGTATAATTTTTATTCTTTCCAGTGCCCTTATTTTCTCTCAATCTTTCTCTCTCTCTTTATTACTTTCTCACTATATCTCCTCTATTTTCTCTCAATCTCTCTCTCTTTCCCCCCATTACTCTCCCCATTTCTCCCCTATTTTTCTCTTTATCTACTATTGATTATTTATTTTCTTTTCAAATATGTAAAATTTTGATTAATTTTTTTCCTCGCCCCTTATTTTCTCTCATCGATTCTCTCTCTCCTTATTTTTTCTGTCTCTCTTTATATAAACATTACAACAACATAATTATACTAATCAGTTACAATTGTCTTATAATACACCAAATAATTATTCATATTTCTAATAAAATCAAATAGTTATACCAAACAATTACACAAAATTATGATATCAACCCAATTTGTTATTCAGTTATTTACATAAACTAAATAGTTGCACTATTTTATATTATGACATCGTTACACCAATTATATATACTAAATTTAGTGTAATGGTAAAGTCTTTTGTTTAATGATAAACTCAATTTGGTGTATATATGTCATGATACTAAATGATGTAATTATTTGATTTATGTAAATAATTGAATGATAAATTTGGGTTGTGTTGTAATTTCGTATAATTGTTTAGTGTAACTGTTTGATTTATTAGAACAAATGAGTAATTGTTTGGTATATTATAGGATATTGTAACTAATTTGTGTAACTGATTTGTGTAATTGTGTTGCGGTAATGTTGATATAAAGAGAGAGAATATGGAAATAAGGGAAGAGTGAGTGAGAGAGAGAAAAAAAAATAGGAGAGCAAGATAAAAAATTAAATTAAATCTTTACATATTTAAAAAAAATAAATTATCAATGTGTGAGAGAGAGAAAGATAGATAGAGAGAGAGAAAAAAAATAGGGAAGAGAGAGAGTGATTGAATAATAAATGACCTTTTTACTCTTTTTTTTAAAAAAATGCACTTAGTGCCAAATAAATTTCTTTAATATAATTTAATTCAAATAAATTTAAATTTTTATACCAATTTTTAATTTACCCTTAAATGAGTGGTGCACGTATATTGGGGTCATAGCCAGCTCAACCCTCACATGATGGGCTGTGGTGGGTATAGCCCAAAAGCCCAACGAACAGAACTGTGAACCAAGATTTTTACGTCAACAAAAGGCTCAATAGAGTTGATCAAATGGTTGTAACCCACTGTATCCTACATGTAATAATGCTTGACAAAATTATATGTTGGGTTAATTATAAATTGTACCTCGAAAGATCGTTCGAATCTCAATTTACACAATTAAAGATAAAAAATTTTAATTTGTCCACTCAAAAATAGAAATTTGTTTTAATGTGCACTCCCAAATATCAAAAATCTTAATTTAGACCTCTTTATATTTAGAATATTACTCCTACATCTCATAATATTTGTGCATGTGTAATACGTAACTTTTTTTATTGATATCAGTTAATATAACAGTTAAAAAATATAATTTTATCCTAAAAAAAATTATAATTTCATGTTACCATTTATTTTGTGGATCCGATATATTCTAAAGTTCAAAATTAAGGTTATCATTTGAATGTCCAATAGACAGTAGGTATTTATATAATGTTTTTTATATGCAATGTAAGATATCATTTAAACATAATTATTTGGATACCGAATTGGGGAGCATTTTAGATTGAAAGTATTTTTATTAAGATTTTATAACCGTTAAAAAATGTGGTTTTATCCTAATAAAAAATTATAATTTTATATTATCCTTTATTTTGTGAAGGGTCCAAATGATTAAGTGACAAGCACGAGGAATCTAGATATAATTTATCAATTTAATTTAAAACAAAAAAATGGCGGTAGTTAATTTTAGATGCACATTGATACAAGTTTTTAATTTTGAGGGGATAAATTGAAATTTTTTATTTTTGGGATACGAATTGATACAAATTTTTATCTTTGAAAGTACGAATTAAAATTTTTAATTTTGGAGATTTAAATTAAGATTTGAACGATCGTACAATTAGCGATTAACCCTTATTTTTTTTATAGAAAATTGTGTGGGCAAATATCAAAGCCGAGGAAGCTCTAGCTAGTTACCTCTACTTCACCATCCTCGTTCGTTCTTCTCTTGAAAATGTCGTTCTCCTTCCATCCCACAACTCATCAACCCAAGAGTGTTTTTTGTGTTTCAATGGTGAGAAGAGTGTCATTGTGGTGGCTGAATTTGCATGGGCTTGCCAAAATTGAGATTTCTTTTTTGACGGGGCTTGGGGGTTGTGAGGCTGAAATTGCTGGGTGGTGTCCGGTTGCGGTGGCTTTTGTTCGGACTGGTGGGTGGTTCGCAGTATTTTGAGGGTGTTCCACGGTGGTGAGTTGGGTGGTTTCCAGCCTTAAGTTGCAACAGTGAGAGATTGGAAGATGATGATAATGGGTCTTTAGGTATTTCAAAAAAATAAATAAATTGGATCTCTGGTTCCATCTCTTTATCTTGTTTAAATCATTGATAATTCAATTTGAAAAGAAATAGAAATTTCTCTTTCTTATGATGATCAAGTCAAGTGATTCCACCATAATTGCAGTTTCTCCGAGAGAAGAATTTCAAACAAACGATTCCCCAGGTGAAGGTTGAAGATGGGGAGGAAATTACTTATGAAACAGCCACAACCACATTGAGGAGGGCTGTCCATTTCTTTGCTGCCTTACAAGCCAGTGACGGCCACTGGCCAGCCGAAAATGCTGGCCCCTTGTACTTCCTCCCACCATTGGTCAGTCTTCTAATCGTTATTGCTTGCTTGTTGCTTGCTTGCTGTGCTAATCGTTATTGCATATCTGAGGCTTTCATTGACAATGTTGCTGTTTTAATTTACTAAATTAATCTATGGTTGCCGTTGGATTGTCCCTAGAACCCATTCAATGTTGCAGCTCACTGCCACTTTAACACAACAATGGATTAAGCCATCAAATTAGATCCGAGTAGCATTAATCTTTTATTAAACGCTACAGCTAATTATCACTTTCTGAAAACCGAAAAATGCAGGTAATGTGCTTGTATATTACTGGGCATCTTAACACTGTATTCCCAGCAGAATATCGCAAGGAAATTCTTCGCTATTTATACTGTCATCAGGTAATTGTTTTCCTGATCTGATCATCTTACACGAGTCATAAATTCTACTAAAATTCTCTAAAACAGTTGCACCCCCATTTTCATCTAATGAACTTTTCACATTACAGAATGAAGATGGTGGCTGGGGATTTCATATCGAGGGCCATAGCGTCATGTTCTGCACGACTCTCAGCTACATTTGTATGCGTATACTTGGAGAAGGACCAGATGGTGGCGAAAACAATGCCTGTGCTAGAGCACGAAAATGGATTCTGGACCATGGTAGTGTGACAGCAATACCGTCCTGGGGCAAGACATGGCTTTCGGTAATACCATTTAAGAACTCACAATAGGTTTTTTACCCAAAGGAATAAAAATATAGATCTCATATTTTGTTGTGAGATTCACGTGTCTATTGCATGCTGATTGAATCTTATACATTTTCTGTGTTTTCCAGATATTTGGTGTATTTGAATGGTCTGGGAGCAACCCAATGCCCCCTGAGTATTGGTCGCTTCCTACATTCCTTCCTATACATCCAGGTTCACTCAGTTCTCTAAAAGCAATGCTTAAACATGGATGCTCAGCTTTTATTGTGAAAACAATTGGGTGGGAATTGATTATAAAGTCAAACAGAACATTAAATATTGGCTCAGTTTGCTAGTGAGTTAAAATGGTGAAAGTGGAGCCTGGCAACGGCCATTGCTCTCATGTCTCAACCAAACCCAGGGCAAGGGATAGACTCAGTTTCTATAATCTATACATGAATGGTAAATAGGATCCGACAAGGGATCGATGTCAAGAAGAAACTTGGCAAAATGACCTTTTAACTTGGGGAGAAAGGGTGTTTTATGGCCTTTTGATTAAAAAAGATCCATGTTTTCATACTGTAATTAGCTACATGCGATGTTTAGGTTTATTTTCATTTGACATTCTATTCCTTTATTACAGCGAATATGTGGTGCTATTGCCGGCTGGTTTACCTGCCCATGTCATATTTATATGGGAAAAGGTTTGTTGGCCCAATCACTCCCCTTGTTTTACAACTGCGAGAAGAACTTTATGATCAACCCTACCATGAAATAAATTGGAGGAAAGTACGTCATTTGTGTTGCAAGGTATATCTACCTCATTTGAAGATGCTGATATTGTTTTTTTTTTCATACGATGCTTATATTATTTCCTCCTTTTTCCAATTTCTGTACATGTTTATTCATACGAATGAAACGTATATGCAATCTTGTTACAGGAGGATCTCTACTATCCTCACCCCCTAATACAAGATTTGCTCTGGGATTGTCTCTACTTATGCACTGAGCCTCTTCTGACTCGTTGGCCCTTTAACAAGTTGAGAGAGAAATCTCTTCAAACAACCATGAAGCACATACACTATGAAGATGAGAACAGTCGATACATCACCATCGGATGTGTGGAAAAGGTAATGTGATAGTGACAAGATGAACGTTCTAAATGGAAGGAAAAAAGTTTAGATTTTGTCTCTGCACATGGGTATAGTTGATCACTTTCATAAAAAATTACTCATTTTGAACAGGTACTATGTATGCTTGCTTGTTGGGTTGAGGATCCAAATGGGGATTATTTTAAGAAGCACCTAAGTTTTGATTTTGTATCTGCACATTGGTATATTTGATCACTTTCATAAAAAATTACTCATTATGAACAGGTACTATGTATGCTTGCTTGTTGGGTTGAGGATCCAAATGGGGATTATTATAAGAAGCACCTTGCTAGGGTTCCAGATTATATATGGGTTGCTGAAGATGGAATTAAGATGCAGGTTAGAGCATGTCTAATCACCCCTCTTTAAAATCTGTTATATCGAAAATATTCCCACTCATATATGTCTTCTCAATCATTCATTTTTCACAAGAAAGTGAAGTAGGAAAGATGTTGTTTCCAACTTTATTATTAGTTCATTTGTGGGACCAAATTCATGCACTGCTTATGAATTCATTCCAGTATTGTTGGTTGGAATTGCTGAGTGTCATAGTACCATTCAAATGCAGAGTTTCGGTAGTCAAGAGTGGGACACTGCTTTTGCCCTTCAAGCACTCCTGGCTAGTGGTCTGACCAACGAAATTGAACCTACTCTTTCAAAAGGACATGACTTCGTGAAGCAGTCTCAGGTATCAACTTAAGTTTTGTAAAGCATTTTTTGGGTGTATTTGATAATTCAACAGCTCTCTTAAAAGCTCTTTGGATTGATTCATGCTGTTCCCAAACTTTTTGCAGGTGAAGGACAATCCTTCTGGTGACTTTAAGAGCATGTACCGCCACATTTCTAAAGGATCGTGGACCTTTTCAGATCAAGATCATGGATGGCAAGTTTCTGATTGCACGGCAGAAGGACTCAAGGTATTGCTCTTTCTCAGAAACTTCAGTCAAACCTAAGGCTCATCCATGACTTACTACTACACTAATTTGGTCCCTTTAATTTTTTTTTCCTTTTTTCCTAATTTTTGTCTGTCAGTGCTGCCTCCTTTTCTCATTGATGCCACCCGAAATTGTTGGTGAGAAAATGGGAGCTCAGCAACTCTACGATGCAGTCAACATTCTGCTTTCTCTACAGGTAAGGTCAAGTAGCATTGTCATTGTTTTAGCCCTCTCCATAACTCCCAGATCACCTTTTTATCTTAAAAACCGATTAAAACGAAAAAATTAGTTTGGATAAACTCCTTCATTAACCTATTAATCTCTATGGTCTCAACAATCAACACAACTTTTTTTTTTTTTGTGGCAAAATGCCTATTAATCCTTGAAATGTTAAAATGATATAATAAACCGAGAGGCTTCCTTAAAGTTTCTCTATTCTTTGATTATAGTTGTTGAATTGTGCTCCATAATTGACATGAGATGCTGGTGTTAATAAGTTCTACTGTACTTGAACTGTGGTAGAGCAAAAATGGTGGTTTAGCTGCTTGGGAGCCAGCAGGAGCTTATGATTGGATGGAGGTAGATGCCACGACTTACGAATCATCTTCAGATTTGCCATTTTTATAGTATGAGTTATTTTTTTTAAAATAAATTTCTTTTGTCTTATTGCAGCTGCTCAATCCCACAGAATTCTTTGCAGACATTGTCATTGAGCATGAGTACGATTTCTTTTGTTCATTTTTTAGTATCCTATTTTGCACCCTCTGTTGTGAAGTGTTGAGACTAACAGAATAGTGACACAGGTATGTTGAGTGCACTTCATCGGCAATCCAGTCGATGATCTTATTTAAGAAGCTATACCCTGGACACAGGAAGAAAGAGATTGAAAGTTTTATTACAAATGCTGTTCGGTTCCTCGAAGATATCCAGATGCCTGATGGTTCATGGTATGTTTCTCCTCTGAAATGTCAAAATTCTGTTTTGTGTTTTTTTTTTCTCTAGTAAGGAACACAAAGATGCAATTTTACAGGTATGGAAACTGGGGTGTGTGTTTCACATATGGTACGTGGTTTGCACTTGGAGGACTGGAGGCAGCTGGCAAGACATTTTACAATTGCCTTGCAGTCCGTAAAGCTGTTGATTTTCTGCTAAATTCACAACGGGATGATGGCGGTTGGGGAGAAAGCTATGTTTCGTGCCCAAACAAGGTAATGATTGTTTTGCCTACACATTATAACAGATCAGCCCAATTCAATATCAAGTAGTGATGTATTTGATTTAGTTGAGGTCATATATTCTCCCCCTAACCTATCTGTATAAACTTTGCGTCTGATTAAACAGAAGTATACTCCTCTAGAAGGAAACCGGTCAAATTTGGTACATACTGCGTGGGCCATGATGGGTCTGATTCATTCTGGGCAGGTTAGTGTGTTGTTTCAATGCTAAACAGTTGATTTGTTCTTCACTGTTACTTTTTATCAAAAAATTGATTCCCAAGTTGTCCTCTTTTGTAGGCCGAGAGAGACCCAACACCCCTCCACCGTGCTGCGAAGCTGTTGATCAATTCTCAGATGGAAAATGGAGATTTTCCTCAGCAGGTAAACTAAATGAGCAATTTGGCACCAAAAAAGTAGAAAGAAAGAAAATGATGAAAGGAATTACTACTTCAACACTATACATGTTATTGCACAAAGAAAAACTTATCCAGACATAAATTTTTTATGCTTTGTGGAATGAAACCAAAACAGAGAAAGAGATAATTACCTGAATCTGAAAAAACGGACGAAATGAAGTGGACAGAAAAAAGAGGAATCACATGGACATGAATCCATTCCTTCAATTTTATGTTATTAATGCAGATGTGATTCAATTTCTCAAGAAATTGACTTCAATCTCATGGTCAACCTTGTGCGTTTAAACTTGATCTGATCTGACAATTACATGAACTAATTCATGGCAGGAAATCACTGGAGTTTTCATGAAGAATTGCATGTTACATTATGCGGCCTACAGGAATATATATCCACTGTGGGCCCTAGCTGAGTATCGCAAGTCAGTGCCACTGCCAACAAAATGACCCCTATAGGGCATGGGGGAAGGTTAGGACAATGGTGCATATGAATGAAAGATTCTGAAAAATCATTAGTTTATGTTGTTGACTTGTGTACATCATTTTGTTCTACACATGAACCCTCCAGATGCATGAAAGTGTAATATTCTCTTCATTATGCATAATCCATTGGCATCAAGTTGTACAATGCCTCATTCTTAGTTGAAAGTATTTTGTTCTTCATTGACTTAATTTACTGGCATGATGATGTGTTAAGTGATGGAGTTCCAATGAAAATCCCATGAGTTATCGTCGCAACA